TTTTTTTTTTTTTTTTTTTTTTTTTTTTTTTGAATTAATTGGATTATTAATTAGACAAAAGATTCGGGTTTTCTTCTATAAATCTAGATAAGATTTGATGTTTTTTTTATTTATTTTTTATTTTTTTATTCCATGGTGGCCATTTTCAGTGACACTGGTTTTTTCACAATTATAATATTTATTTTTTTTTGTCACTACTTGATCAATTTTTGTCACTTCACTGCAAATGTTTTTTTTTAAAGGCTCCATTTGATCAAGATTTGTTCCCTTTGGAATGAGTAGTGAGAGCACTAATCATGCCAAAAGTGGTCATTATATCACTAATAAACAATTGATAATCAGCACATATATATGGCATGAAAAAAAAAAATATCTCTTTATATAATTTTATTTTAGTATTTTTATTTGGAAAAAAATAGAAGAAAAAAAGTTGTGGTCTGATTTCGAGTTTTCCGGTCAGGCGCAACTTCCGGCATTGGTGCGGAGACAGCAAGAGTGCTGGCGAAGAAGGGCGTACGCGTAATTATTCCGGCTCGCGACTTGGTGAAAGCCGAAAAAGTTAAGGATAATATTCAAAGAGAGAGCCCACAAGCTGAGATCATCATATTGGAGATAGATTTGAGTTCATTTGATTCAATACAGAGATTTTGTTATGAGTTTTTATCTTTAGGATTGCCTCTTCATATTCTCATGTAAGCCTTTCTTTTTATTTATTTATTTATTTTTGAATTTTTTTGGGGCTATTTTTCTCATGTCAAAATTTTCCCATTATTGTGCAGAAATAATGCTGGCAAGTATTCACAAAAGCTGGAATTATCTGAGGACAAAATTGAGCTCACTTTTGCTACTAATTATTTAGGTACGATCTCTGATTTACACCGGAATTATTTAGGTTCGATCCGTCATATTTTTTTTTTACATAAAAATATGAACATATGTTATGAAATGTCATTTTTTTTTAAAAAAAATAGAAGAAATTATGACGTGATTTTGAAAATATGCATATTTGTCGAAAATGTACGTCAGTCTAACCGTTAAGTCTGACTAACAACAAATAGAGTTAGTGAGGGTTTTTTAAGGATGAAATCATAATTTATCATAAATTAAGTGCAAACTTGTAGAAATTAAGCATATAATAAATAATGACATTGGAAGGTACTAATTGTATTTTGTCTGGTTTTCTTTTGTTATCTTTTATTTATTTATTTATTTTTTGTCTGATTGAATATTTTTTTGTGTGTCTGGTTTTGGTTTGTAAGGTCATTTTCTGCTGACAGAGATGCTTTTGGGGAAAATGGTGGAGACAGCTTCAGAAACACAAATCCAGGGCAGAATAGTAAATGTCTCCTCAGTGATTCACAATTGGGTCAAGACCAAAAACTTTTGCTTCAACAAAATGCTTAGCCCA